TATTGAGTTGTTTAAAAAAATCTCTAGAAAAACTAGGCAAAACGCCAAGTAAAGCGTCATTACATGTGTATACCAGTAAATGTTTTTAATTTTGGAAGGCATCACAATACTCTTTTTTTCTATAACAGGGATAACTCACTATTGTTATATAATGGTAATGTGAAGAATTTGCTGCTCCTGTGATAGTGTACATTTATTGTTTTTCAAACCTGCTCTGCATTTTTGGAAATGCCTACTTAAACAAAGTCCAACAGGGAGCAGCTCTTTTAATATTGTAGATGCAAAATGCACAATTCTTTTTATATAATATGCTTGGGGTTAGCTTAAACTTGCCTGTGAAACGGCATATCTACATGATCTGCCACAGCAAAAGTGACTTTTATTTATTTTTGTGTATTAGCAACCACGGTAATTTGAACCTTTTTATTCATTCAAGTAGGGGGTCTTTTAGATTTCAAGACGTTCTCCCTCCAGACCCAACATCCACCTATCAGTAGCTGGCTCTCAGCTGACCCTGGTCACAGAAGTTCAAAAGTAAGTGCACTCCTGTTGCCCACAAGAGAGGTATGGCCAAAAAAGCTTGGCCATACTTTTATAGTCAATTTTTAAATGCATGTCCATCTATGACAACCCTGTCCTCAGAGTGTCAACCCTGCTGTCCAATTTCACTGCAGAATAAGCAGTGTTGTCAGAAAGTCAAAATATTTTGGATCTAATGACAGCATCAACATGTAAAGTTACTATTTTACAAATGGAGATCAGAAAAAACAAAAAACTACTCTTTTAAAAGTAATGGTAGACTGCAACATATATGTTGTGTATAATTTTGCCCATAGTTACATTTTATCATTAAAAGAGCAGAATTTAATAGTTAATATCAATAAAGTTAGTTAGTGAAGATAAAGATCAAGAATAGGAGAATGAAATATGTTTACGGTCTGTTTAAATTAATATAGCACAGATATTTTAAATGACTCAAATGTAGTTCAGAAACATTGTCAGAATGTATCTTCCTTAGACATAATTTCTACATCTTGCACATTTCTCAGTTTGGAAGAAAGTATGGGTTTGAAAAATTCCAGAGTCTATTTTCTTCTTCATTTATGACACATGGAGGCAATTTGTGGATATCTATTTTATATCCCGTGGCTTTCCATATCTCTGTCAAGGAAGAGGCCCAAAGATTATCAGCACTCAGCAGAGGTCAGTGTGCGGCTACATGTTATGAAAGTATATTGTACTCTTACAAGGTATAATTAAAACAGGCTACTGAGTACAGAAGGTTCTCTGCTTCAGAGTCATTTAAAAGAAAAACAATATTTTTCAAAAATTTGTGCTGTTTATCATTCAAGTTATTAGTTATTTATGATGTATTATCCTGCTAGTGGCTTCAGTTTACATGTTATATATAAATGGGAATGGAATGGTTTGATTTTCAGAGGAGTGGTTAAAACCAAAGCCTTCGCACTGAACGATATTCCCTAGCTAGAATATTTTTTTAAAATGATAAAAGTCACATTATTACAGCTGTATATATATATATATATATATATATATATATATATATATATATATATATATATATATACCTATATTATATATATATATATTGCCAAAAGTATTGGAGACACCTGCCTTTACATATGAACTTTAATGGCATCCCATTCTTAGTTCATAGGGTTCAATATTGAGCTGTCCCACCCTTTGTAGCTATAACAGCTTCAAACTCTTCAGGGAAGGCTGTCCGCAAGGTTTAGGAGTGTGTCTATGGGAATGCTTCACCATTTTTCCAGAAGCACATTTGTGAGGTCAGGCACTGATGTTGGATGAGAAGGCCTGGCTCGCAGTTTCCACTCTAATTCATCCCAAAGGTGTTCTATCGGGTTGAGGTCAGGACTCTGTGCAGGCCCAGTCAGGTTCCTCCACCCCAAACTTGCTCATCCATGTCTTTATGGATCTTGCTTTGTGCACTGATGCTCAGTCATGTTGGAACAGGAAGGGGCCATCCCCTACCTTTTCCATAAAGTTGGGAGCATGAAATTGTCCAAAATGTCTTGTATGCTGACATCTTAAGCGTTCCCTTCACTAGAACTAAGGGGACAAGCCCAACCCCTGAAAAACAACCCCACACCATAATCCCCCCTCCACCAAACTTTACAACTTGGCACAATGCAGTCAGGCCAGTACCTTTCTTCTGGCAACCACTAAAACCAGACACGCCCATCAGATTTCCAGATAGAGAAGTGTGGTTCTTCACTCCAGGGAACAAATCTCCACTGCTCTAGAGTCCAGTGGCAGCATGCTTTTCACCACTGCATCCAATGCTTTCTTGTGCTAATCTGAAGGCCACATGAAGTTTGGAGGTCTTTAGCTATTGACTCAGCAGACAGTTGGCGACTTCTGCGCACTGTGTGCTTCAGCATGTGCTGACCCCCCGCTCTGCTGTCATTTTACTTTGCATATCACTTCATGGTTAAGTTGTCATTGTTCCCAATTGCTTCCACTTTGTTAAAATACCACTAACAGTTGATCATGGAATATTTAGTAACACAGAAATTTCATGGATGGACTTATTGCATACTAACAGGTGGCAACCTATCACTGTACCACGCTTGAATTCACTGAACGCGCGAGCTCCTGAGGAGCAACCCATTCTTTCACAAATTTTTTGAAGAAGCAGTCTGCAATTCCTGGGTACTTGACATTTTACACCTGTGGCCACAGAGGTTATTGGAAAAACACATGAACCCAATGATTTGGAGGGGTGTCCCAATACTTTTAGCAATATTATTATATATATATTTATATATAATATTTAATATATAACTATATATACATACAGTTGTGTTCAAAATAATAGCAGTGTGTTGAAAAAAAGTGAATAAAGCTCAAAATCCTTCGAATAGCTTTATTTCCATACACACAAAATGCATTGGGAACACTACACATTCTATTCCAAATCAAAACATGAAGAAAAATTATATCAAATGTTTGTTGTTCCTCTAAAAAAATTTAAGAAAGTGAGTATTAGACTGTTCAAAAAAAAATAGCATTGTTTGTATTCTTCTTTACAAAACTCAAACATTCACTATGTAAACTGAAAAATGTTTTGAAGATTTTGCTTTCCTTTGAATCACTTTAACCACTTCCTGTCCGGACACTTTTAACACCCCCTCCTGTCCAGGCCAATTTTCAGCTTTCGGCGCTCTCACATTGTGAATGACAATTACTCAGGCATACAATCACTGTATCTAAAAGTGAAATTATTATCATTTTTTTCAAACAAATAGAGCTTTAATTTGGTGGTATTTTAATCATCACTGGGGTTTTTATTTTTTGCTAGAAAATGAAAAAGACTGAAAATTTTGAAAAAAAACATGTTTTTCTTTTTAATTTGATACTAAATTTTGCAAATAAATTATACTTTCTTCATAAATTTAGGCAGGGTTAAAATCCATTGTGCTACATTTTGTTGGTAGACATAACCCAAATCAGTGTGTATTATTTAGTCTTTGTGAAATTTATAGAGTCACAGACCACGGTATATATATTTGATATATTTGAAAATTCGTATCAATCCTGATGCATGGACTACCTATATAATTTCTTGGGGTCCTAAAATGCCAGGACAGTACAAATACCCCCCCAAACGACCCCTTTTTGGAAAGTAGACAGTCTGAGGTATTTTAATGAGAGGCATGGGGAGTTTTTTGAAGTTGTCATTTTTTGCCAATTTTTTAAGGAAATATGATGAAAGTAAAAAAAATTATTTTTTTTTTTTCCTACAAAGTTGTCATTTAACAAGTTCTTTCTCTCACACCAAACGGCATCTAGGCATACTTGCAATTACACCCCAAAAACACATTCTGCTACTCATCCTGAGTATATGGCAAATACCACATGTGTAAAACTTTTTCACAGCCTAACCACATAGAAGGGCCCCACATCCAATAAGCACCCTTTGGCGTTTCTAGGGGCAAAATGTATACACCATCTAATTTCTTGACTGTCTATCACAGTTTTGGAGGTCCTGGAGCACCAGGACAATTGAATTACCCACAAAATGACCCCATTTTCGAAAGAAAACACCTCAAGGTATGTTTTAAGAGGCATGGGGAGTCCCTCTGAAGACTTCATTTTTTGCCACATTTTTTTTGGAAAATGATGTGAAAAGAAAATGAAAATGTATTTTTTTTTACGCAAAGTTGTCAATCTATGAAATAAATTTCTATTACACACGCATAGGCATACTTAAAATGACACCCTCAAAACGCATTCTTTAACTCCTGCTGAAACATGGCTGATACCAAATGGTGTGAGAACTTTTTCACAGTCTGGCCACATAGAGGGGTTTCCACATCCAATAAGCACCTGTTAGGTCGTTCTAAGGGCAAAAATTACACATCTAATTTTCTTGACTACCTATTGCCGTTTTGGAGGTCCTGGAGCATCAGGGCAATGGAATTATCCACAAAATGACCCCATTTTGGAAAGAGAAAACACCCCAAGGTATGTTTTAAGAGGCATGCAGAGTCTTCTGAAGACTTCATTTTTTTGCCACAAGTTTTTGGAAAATGCGAAAAAGAAAATGAAAAATGTATTTTTTTCTACACAAAGTTATACATCAGTCTATGAGATATTTCTAATTACACTGCATAGGCATACTTAAAATTACACCCAAAAACACATTCTCTAATTCTTCCTGAATATGGTGATACCAAATGTGTGAGACTTTTTCACAGTCTGGCCACATAGAGGGGTTCCACATCCATTAAGGCAACCTGTTAGCGTTTCTAAGGGCAAAGATCGCACATCTAATTTCTTTAACTACCTATGCTTTTTTGAGGTCCTGGAGCATCAGGACAATGGAATTATCCACAAAAGACCCCATTTTGGAAAGCAAACACCCAAGGTATGTTTTAAGTTCTCCGTCACTCTCATCTGTCATACTCAGAATTTGAAATGCCTCCTCGCTTGTATATGATCTTTTGGCCATATTTTTGACACTGATCAGGAACCCACTGGAATGGCAGTGATCAGGATGGTGTTGCAGTGAGGGACAGATATCTGGCTGCAGTTGGTTCACACTAGTCACTGTTTGGGCAAAAATCAGAGATACAGTGAGGTGGCTGACAATGTTTTGTGAGTGTGTGTAAACTCTGTGCAAAGGCTGAAAATTACTCACAGTTAGCTGTACTGGATCTCTCTCCTCACAGATGAATGGCAGTGAACAGGATCCACTGGTGTGGCAGAGATCAGGGACACTTTATGAACAGGCACACTGTAAGGTGATCAGGGACACTGATTGGGCCACTGTATGGTGATCAGGACACTGCTGGGCCACTGCGGTGATCAAGGACACTGCTGGGTCACTTGTGTGGCGATCAGGGACACTGTGGCGATCAGGGACACTGCTGGACCACTGGTGCGGCGACCATGGACACTGCTGGGCCACTGCGATGATCAGGACACTGCTGGGCCACTTGTGTGGCGATCAGAAACACTGCTGGGCAACTGCGGTGATCAGGGACACTGCGGTGATCAGGGGGCACTGCTGGACCACTTGTCCGGCGATCAGGGACACTGCTGGCCACTTGTGTGGTGATCAGGGACACTGCTGGGCCACTTGTGTGGTGATCTGGGCCACTGCGGCAATCAGGGACACTGCGGTGATCAGGGACACTGCTGGACCACTTGTGCAGCAATCGGGGACACTGCGGTGATCAGGGACACTGCTGGGACACTGCGGCGATCAGGGACACTTCTGGACCACTTCTGCGGCGATCAGGGACACTGCTGGGCCACTGCGATGATCAGGACACTGCTGGGCCACTTGTGTGGCAATCAGAAACACTGCTGGACTACTGCGGTGATCAGGGACACTTCGGTGATCAGGGGCACTGCTGGACCACTTATCCGGCGATCAGGGACACTGCTGGGCCACTTGTGTGGTGATCAGGAACACTGCTGGGCCAATGTGGGGATCAGGGACACTGCTGGGCCAATTGTGTGGTGATCAGGAACACTGCTGGGCCAATGCGGTGATCAGGGACACTGCTGGCCACTTGTGTGGTGATCAGGAACACTGCTGGGCCAATGCGGTGATCAGGGACACTGCTGGGCCACTTGTGTGGTGGTCAGGGACACTGCTGGGCCACTGCGGCAATCAGGGCCACTGCGGTGATCAGGGACACTGCTGGACCACTTGTGCGGCAATCAGGGACACTGCGGTGATCAGGGACACTGCTGGGCCACTGCGGTGATCAGGGACACTGCTGGACCACTTGTGCGGCAATCAGGGACAATGCTGGGTTACTTGTGCGGCGATCAGGGACACTGCTGGGCCACTTGTGTGGCGATCAGGGACACTGCTGGGCCACTGCGGCAATCAGGGACACTGCGGCAATCAGGGACACTGCTGGACCACTTGTGCGGCAATCAGGGACACTGTGGCGATCAGGAACACTGCTGGACCACTTGTGTGGCAATCAGGGACACTGCGGTGATCAGGGACACTGCTGGGCCACTGCGGCGATCAGGGACACTGCTGGACCACTTGTGCGGCAATCAGGGACACTGCGGTGATCAGGGAAACTGCTGGGCCACTGCGGCAATCAGGGACACTTCTGGGCCACTTGTGTGGCAATCAGGGACACTGCTTGGCCACTGCGGCGATACTGCTGGGGCCACTTGTGTGACGATCAGGGACACTGCTTGGCCACTGCAGCGATCAGGGACACTGCTTGGCCACTTGTGTGGCGATCAGGAACACTGTGACGATCAGGGACACTGTGGCGATCAGGAACACTGCTGGGCCACTATGTGGCGATCAGGGACACTGACAATCAGGGACACTGCTGGGCCACTTGTTGGGCGATCAGGGCCACTTGTGGGCGATCAGGCAATCAGGGCCACTTGTGGGCGATCAGGGCCACTTGGGGCAATCCGGGCCACTTGGGGCAATCAGGGCCACTTTAGGGGCAATCAGGGACACTTTAGGGGCAATCAGGGACACTTGGGGCAATCAGGGACACTTGGGGCAATCAGGGACACTTGTGGGGGGCGATCAGGCCACTTATGGGCAATCAAAGCCACTTGTTGGGGCAATCAGGGCCACTTATTGGGGTGATCAGGGACACGTGGGGCGATCAGGGCCACTTTAGGGGCGATCAGGGACACTTTAGGGGCTATCAGGTGTCACTGAGGTGGAGGGCAGTTAGCTACAACCTCTTCTTCGATGTTTCTCCTCTCACAGACAACTCCGTGTGAGGAGAAGGAGGCGGAAGCCGCACCATGCGGCTTTTGTTTACACTTAAGCTGTGTCCTTATTGGACACAGCTGATCACATGGTATGGGACCGATTTCATTGGTCCCATACCATGTCACGTAATCCACCGTGTCTGTCGGACTCGGCGATCATCGGGCTCGCGGGTGCGCGCTCTAGGAGCCGCGCACGAGCCTCAGATACAAGGTGCCGTTTAGAGACGGCAACCCGCTCCTGTAGGTGTCCCGTCCTGCCGTTTATAAACAGCGGCCGGACGGGAAGTGGTTAATTAATATTTAGTTGTATAAGCACTGTTTCTGAGAACTGCTGTACATCTGTGTTGCATGGAGTCAACCAACTTCTGGCACCTGTGAACAGGTATTCCAGCCCAGGATGATTGGACTACATTCCACAGTTCTTCTCTATTTCTTGATTTTGCCTCAGAAACGGCATTTTTGATGTCACCCCACAAGTTTTCTATTGGATTACGATCCGGGGATTGGGCTGGCCACTCCATAACGTCAATCTTGTTGGTCTGGAACCAAGATGTTGCAGGTTTACTGGTGTGTTTGGGGTCGTTGTCTTGTTGGAACACCCATTTCAAGGGCATTTCCTCTTCAGCATAAGGCAGCATGACCTCTTCAAGTATTCTGATGTATTCAAACTGATCAATGATCCCTGGTATGCGATAAATAGGCCGTACACCGTAGTATGAGAAACATCCCCATATCATGATGCTTGCGCAACCATGCTTCACTGTCTTCACAGTGTACTGTGGCTTGAATTCAGTGTTTGGGGGTCATCTGACAAACTGTCTCCGGCCACTAGACTCAAAAAGAACAATCTTACTTTCATCAGTCCACAAAAATGTTGCGCCATTTCTCTTTAGGCCAGTCAATGTGCTCTTTGGCAAATTGTAACCTCTTCAGCACGTCTTTTTTTCAACAGTGGGACTTTGCGGGGGCTTCTTGCAGATAGCTTGGCTTCACATAGGCGTCTTCTAATTGTAACAGTACTCACAGGGAACTTTACACCTTCTTTGATCTTCCTGGAGCTGATTGTTGGCTGAGTCCTTGTCATTTTGGCTTTTCTTCTATCCATTTGAATGGTAGTTTTTCGCTTTCTTCCACGTCTTTCAGATTTTGGTTGCCATTTTAAAGCATTTGCGATCATTTTAGCTGAGCAGCCCATCATTTTCTACACTTCTTTATATGTTTTTCCCCTCTCCAATCAACTTTTTAATCAAGGTACGCTGTTCTTCTGAACAATGTCTGGAACGACCCATTTTCCTCAGAATTTTCAGAGAGAAATGCACTGTAACCAGCATGTACAACATTTGCTGCCTTGCTTTCCTTAAATAAGGGCAATAATTGCCACCTGTTTTTCAAAGAATGAATGGCCTCACTAATAGAACTCCACACTGCTATTATTTTGAACATGCCCCTTTCAATTAGTGATTCAATTACACAGAATCAGCAGCATGCATGTAATGACTGTTGGGTCTGTTGGATTTCTATTACTCTACCACACCTGCTAGTAAATTATTTGCCATGTAGAAATATCATTTCTACCAAAAACAGTGATTGATCAGGTTAGTGATGTCTGACTGCTATTATTTTGAACACAACTGTATATATACACATTGGGGAAAATATTTTTTTGATCCTCTGCAGATTTTGTAAGTTTGCCCACTTACAAAGAAATGAAGGGTCTATAAGTTTTATCATTGGTGTACTTTAAATGATAGAGGCAGAATATTAACTAAAAATCCAGAGAAAACACATGATACAAATGTTATAAATTGAGTTGCAGTTCAGTGAGTAAAATAAGTATAATTATTTTAAGCAGCACTGTTGGGCACTGATAAGGGGGCACTGATGAGGCAGCACTGATGGGCACTGATAGGTGGCATGGATGGTAACTAATAAACTGCATTGATGGATGCTGATAACCTGCACTGATGGACACTGATTGGCACTGATGGGGCTGCACTGATGATCAGGGCACTGATGAACACTGCCCTGATTATCAGTGTAAACAATGTACTGTCAGACTGGCTGATTATCAGCTCTCCTGTCCTCACACAGAGACAGTGTGAAACATTGCTGTTTGACTGTGAATGAGCTGCTTTAGTCCATCAGTTTTAAGATGAAAAAATGTATAAGTTTAAGGGCAAGCAGATGACCTCTGCCATCTATGGCCATACTTAAAAAAGTCATCCTAAATTTAAGACACCCATACTGTATAACTTGGGAAATATTTAGAAAACCAAGGACACTTTTGTATGCAGGCAGTAATATTTATAATGGCTTTAGAGTAGTCTCCTATTTTTACTGGAGTTACAAACATTTGACTATTAACATAACGCAAAGAGTAAAGGTAAATGGCAGCACAATTGCACTGACTCCTGAAGATGTTCTTTAGGACCAAAACATGTTGGGCCGAGTCTGAGTAGCTGACATGTACTGTATAGTGTTCCCCTGCGCTAAATATGTACCTAAAAGATACTAAGCAGCTAACACCTCGATCCTATACCTATAGGTGAAATAAAAAATAAACAATAATAATATGGTGTAGCGCTACATATAGCAATATATACTCTATATAAATGTAGAGATGTGCTGGTTGCTTTAAATCTTAAACAGCAGTTGCAAAGCATTTTTTTTTCTTTTCCCTATTTGTGAGTGACAGACAGGGAAAGCAGGACTGTGCTCTGATTGGTTGTTGATACAGCTGAGAAGGATTCACCCATAGCAGCACTGTTGCAGCTGAACTTATGATTGGTTGTGGAGGAAAGGAGAGAGGAAAAAGGAAGAAGAAGCACATGTGGGGTAGCAGACAGTTTCAGGGGACCGCATGGAGCAAGGGCTCCTGGTGTAAAGTCACAGAGTCTCACTCTCTGTCAGGGAGCGAGGAGCCAGACACACAAGGAGGTGCGATTAAAGGTAGGTTTATTTACACAGAAACAAGGCAAAAGTCTATGCAAGTTCGACAGCAACAGCGGATGACTTGGTAGGACAGAAGTTCTCCTGCCGAGGTCCTCTTCCAGGATAATCAAGTCGAGAACCAGCAGAAATAGTAGTCAAAGCCGGGGCCAGAAGCCAGGAAGAATGGTCGCCAGAGCCGAGGTCAGAAGCCAGGAAGAATGGTCGCCAGAGCCGGGGTCAGAAGCCAGGAAGAATGGTCACCAGAGCCGGGGTCAGAAGCCAGGAGGAGTCTTAGCCAAAGCCGAGGCGGTATCCAGGAGAGCAAAGAGTTAACCGAACAGGAGCTTGCTGCTGTGCAACAGACAGGACACGAATGCAATGGACAGTTGCAAACAGCAGACTTAAATGTGATAAGCCGCCACCTCCTGGGGGAGGAGCCAGAGGGCTGACAGCATAAAGGATCCCACAATGCTTTGCAGACCTAAGATGGATGCCATCACATGGAGCAGCACAAGCCCAGAGGAAAGGTAGGACCTTGATACTCTCTGTGCTGCTGGAACCCATAAACTGGGCTGGGAGTGTGTAGCAGAGAAAATTGTTTGCAGGAGGACAGTGTGCAAACCAAGGATTGTCCTGCCTGACACTCAGGATTACAGCCACTCAAGTGCATGTGTCTCTCAGAGTTTGGAGCTGCTGTAAGAGAGAGGATTTCTACTACTGTCTAATGCTATCTAGAGGACAATTCAGAAACAGTGAGTACTCTGTGATGAAAGGGGATTTTGATATTGCTGCATTTGCTGTTCATCTTTGGAGAATGGTCATGAGAAAGCCTGTTCTCTAATTCTCAGAGTGACACAGATCTTGGAAAGCTCAAGCTGCTCAGAATTAGGTATTCCTGCTGCTGATTGATGAGAGAAACTCTGTCTCTGTATATTACTGGTGATTGTCTCCTCAAAACTTGTGCTGTGGCTGAAAAGTGTGTTTAGTTCCAAATTCCCACAGAAGCTTGTTGCTCTGAATATACTGAGCAAGTGTCAGTATATCAGGATTTCACCTGTATGGTAAAGATTTTGTTGAAGTGTTGTTTTTTCCTATTGCAATTTTCACTGGAAGATTCTGCTTAAAGGAGACTGTGCTATCCTGCTACTCCTGGATTACAACTCCTCTCCATGCAGAGAGTGAGCGCTCTTCCATTGATTAAAGGGCCCCAACGTTGAGAGACTTTAAGTTTCATCCTACTGGCCAGGGTTAGGTAGGACATTTCTGCTCTAGATAGTACTGCTATAACAAATGTCAATAAACTGGTAAATCTCATTAACAGTTATTGTTTCATGTGTCAATGTCACTCTCATATGTCACCCTAGTCAGTGTGATACTAGTCAGTTTTTGGAGTCTTTGGCAAGTGAATTGTGACTTCTTACTAACTGTGTTATGTGTTAAGTGGTATCTGTGTTTTATGTACATTACCTGTGTTAAATCAGCTAGTTCTTTTTCAGGGTTTGTCTTCTTCAATAAAACCCATAATAAATATTCTCAGAGTGTCGAAGTGTTCTAGGTATAATCGGAGGTGTCACCAGATTCAGTTGGGAGCTGAACCTATATATCTAGCCAAGCATCACCCAAGGGTGTGCTACATAAATAATATTAGATAAACCAGTGATATGATCCTCAGGAGCTATATTAAACATGAAAAATAGTGAACATATGTGAATACACACAAAAGGTCCTATGCTTGGACCCAATAAGTGAACTGTAAAATATCAGTCATGAATAAACGCATATAATAAACCCAATCCCTACCGTGGGATAAATACCAATTGTGTCCTCAGTGAATCCCAAATGTGGGATATAGGTACAACAAAATTTAAAGTGCTTAAGAAATGTATACACCAATCTGTGTGTACAGTGAATCCCAAATGCGGGATATAATGCAACTCAGTGACAAAGTGCTCAAACAGTAAACATATAATAAATAGAAAAACACATTCAATAAAGCAATAAGTGAAAAAAATAATAAATTGATAATAAAAGTACAATAATGGTGTATTTAGGTTTTTCTCATGTGAGTACCCATTGGTGCTTTTTATAATAAAACTGTCTGACAGCATTGCACTGTGAGTTTGTCCTTTTCCTCTCTCCATGGTCAATTTATGATGTTTTGAGGAGTTGTGATACCTGCCTGAAGGGGTTAATCTGACAGTTACACTGGATAATCCTCATGAGTTTATGACCTTTATATTAGAGGTCTGATATCTCTGCTAAGAGGCTGTTGGAGTACAGGAATGATCATGTGTGATTTCCAATCAGAACTTTTTCACATGTGGATGGAATTTTTTTTCTATAGTAGAGTTTTTTCATTTATATTAATATACATACAGTATTTGTTTGTGATTGTGGGCCAATATTTTATATGAATGCATTTTTAATCGCCAATTTGTTCACCAGTATATATTTCTTGAGACTTTATATATGGAGTTTTGGCATATGTTGGTGGTTTATTGCACTTTTGTTGGCTCAGATAAACTTGTATTTAAGGGGGAAATGCAACAGGTTTTATGTGTATACACTTTTCTGTTGTTTTGTATTCGGACAATCACAGAGTCCTGCTTCTGTATAACTTTGTAAGATTCTAATTTGGTTGTTATCACCTAGCACGGGTTATTTTTTTTACACAGTTGGAAAAGAGTGTTTCACAATATAATGTTCTAGTAATGTTTTAGAAATCAGTGGCTTACAAGGATATGAAAATGACAAGTGTATGCCTGAAGTGTATGTACAGACAGAGTACATTTTTTTAGTTTTGAATATAATAGGAACCTAAATTATTGTACGTGTTTCGAGTTTTACCGATCCCTGTCCCTTCACATATATTGCGCATTCATCAGTGGAAACTTCTGTCTTTTATCTGGGGCTCCACTCGACCTAGATTTAACAAACAGATTTTATTTATCCGTAAGACTGCAGGAGGGTTGTCCGTCCCGAATCTTCAGTCTTACTATTTAGCAGCTAATATTGCTCCCCTAGCTCATCTTCATGCATCCCGCAATATCTACTGTAGGTCTGATCGATTCTCACCCGATACCACTCTCTTCTTTGCTGTGGCTTCCTCCTATTCATTGCCCTTCACCTCTTAGCCCAATGTTGACACACACACTTCGACTTTGGGACTCTATTAAATATTCTGCTGGTCTCATTTCTCCCCATCTGTGTTTGCTATGTTTGCTCCATAACCTATTATTTCCCCTGGGCCTTGACAATCCCTGACAGTTTACATGGTGGACAGCTCATGGCTTCCACGATGTACATTCTTTGCTTTCTCCCACCTGGATACTCACCTTTGAGACTCTACATTCTTTTTACGATATCCCATTGTGGGTGCACTTTGGCTACCTTCAACTCCGTCACTTTATCACTACATTAATACATGCACATTCGGGACCCTATAGGCTAACCCATTTTGAAAGTTTTTGCAAACATAAACCCCATGTCCCGGGCTTGATCTCTCTTGTTTACTCTGCAATTATTTCTTACAGATCGCCCCCCCGGTTCATTCTTATCATCAGCAATGGCAAGCAGAACTCGGGGGGGAGTCTGCATCAGTAAGACTGGAAGATCATGACCCAGGCATTGTCTAAATGTTTGAGGAATGTTACTATATTAGAAAATGCCTATAAGGTCCTTTATAGATGTACTACACGCCTGCCCATTTGGCCCGTTTTATCCCCGTATATTCCGGGGTTGTCAGAAAATAGGTACCATGGCCCATATTTGGTGGCCATATCCCAAGGTTTGCAGACTGTGGATTAGGGTTTATGCCCTTCTTCTCACTATGTTTCACACAAACATTAAGCATAACCCATATGAAGCATTACTATTTAAACCATTAGTGGGCCTACTCCATTCTGAGTGGCAGCTGGCATATCTATTTATGGCTACCAAACTAACGATCTTGGAAGACTTCTCTCCTCAGCTTCGAAGCAGTCAAAAATTGGATGAATTTTATAATGGTTAATGAGAAAGGCTATGTTGTTGAACGCTCACCCAAAGTTTCTACAGATCTGGCATCCCTGGCTTGATATAGTCCAACCTCTAGATTTGATCAGACCCTTTTGTCGATATGAGACTTTTTTCACCGCATCCCCTGGAACCCTTTCTTTTTCTCTTTTTTTTTTTTCTTCATTCCTTTCTCTCCCTTCCTCTTCTCTGTTCTGTTTTTCTTCATGATATTTGTGCTGATAGTAACCTCTTTGCTTTTTTATATAAAAGAACTGCACCAGCAATATTGTATCTATCTGTTGGACTTCCTTGGGATTCCTGGATGTGGAATGCCAGTGTACATTTGGTGAGGCTCTGTGTTCCACCTTTCCTGCCTTTTGTAGGCAAATCATGTGCTGATCTTTGATCGTTGTGTACTAATTCCTTTTTTTTTGTCTCTAATTGCCCACCATTTTTGCAAATTGTGATGCTTTATTTTATCTCTTCATATGCTGCACTTGTGTACTAAGTTTATATTTCTTTAGATATACTTCTGTGCATTTTTTTGTACTATTCATTAGAAAACTTGTTTTATTTGTTGTTGGTCAGTGCTCTTGTTTCTGACTGTTTCTCTGACGTTGTCTATTCTATAATAAAATCCATTTTAAAAGAATATAATAGGGAATGGTTAGGGTTTGTTTCTTGTTTCAATTTTCCTTCACTTCCTGTGCTAGAGATATAAATGATTGGATGGATGAAGTCACCTAAATCACTAATTTCCATGCAAAGTGAAAAGTCTATCTTTAGTAAATCACCCCCCACGTGTTTAGGTAAACACTGCAGAAGGCCTCTATGATTTCCAGCCCAGCGAATTACCTGCACATCGCTGGACTTTTGGTGGTTATACAAAAGTGCAGATATCACCCCGGTACTGTTAGAGCCAGAAACTAGCTCTCTTGGCTAACTAACTACTCGATTGCTTGTACAAGCAGCGAAAAGGGCTTCCCTCCCGTGGCTTTCCGCAGCTCTCTCAGAATTTCCCATCCCACTGGGAGTCCCCAGCAACCACTGGTTGGCCGACAGCCAAGCAAAGCCAGAATTGGCTTTGATTGCCTCTCCCAGTATAGTAAAGCGATAACATGACATCATTACCAGTTTACTCTGAAACATTTGGTGCCGTTTTTTAAATCTTACAGCATTCAATCTTGGTGTTGTGAATGGTTTTAAGATTCTCATAGACCTCAGATCCCTTCATAAAGAGTACCTGTCATGTGTCTATTGTTGTCACAAAGGATGTTTACATTCCTTGTGACAGCAATAAAATAAAAATAAAATTAAAGCGACAGTGTAAAAATACTAAATAAATAACATTTAAGTCCCCCCGTGCTCACACCCAAATGCAAATGTATGCGTCGGTCCCACACAAACACGCAAAAACAGATTGTCCCACACATGTGAGGTATCACCATGAAAATCAGATCATGGGTAGTAATTCTAGCACTAGACCTCCTCTATAAATCTATTAAATTCTTTATTTAAATTCTTTATTTATAGGTATGCAACAATTGCAATAAGTCGTAGATGTCACAAACTTACAGCGTAGATTTCTCATTCAACCAATAGCATGGTACAGGATATAAGTTCAGGAGGCAAACAATCTCCAATCAGTAAGATGATCAATAAGCAAGGAAAGTATACAACCATTATTAACTGAATCCAAGAACATTTAAAAATCAACCAGTAGTCAAGGATATGGTGAGAGCAAACAATAGAGCCCTTTGGAACGGTATATCAGGGTTCATGCCGAGAAACCGTGAGATGCTCACTAGGTCCCAAAAAGGATTAGCACTTTTTTTGTGTTTCCCTTCAGACGAAGTCCGGAAGTGACGAAACGCGTTAAGGGTGTGACGGGTGTGTGACGTCGTGACGCACGCACGCAGACCGGAAGTGTCGCCGCGGCCATTTTGTGGGTTATCAACACATGGCTTACCGCATTTGTTTGGTAGAACTTGCATAGGAACCATGTGGGGAGCTGGATATATGAAATTTTAATGTAAGTGGATATTAAAATCTTTTACCTATACCTTGAATATGAGCCTTGAGACCCTTCTTGTCTTTTGAGGACCTTGGAAAATTTCTTTGGAGAGAATGAGAAGATCCCTGCTGGTATATTGATACAGAGGGTAATAGTATTTTATACTATTGGTGTCGGTGGATACACAGTGTTGCAGTGTTCACAGAGTGGTCACAGTTTATCCATACGTGCACAGGAGATATATATGTATACAGTTTTTGCACAGTTTTTGTTGTTTGTGTTTTGCACGGAGTGAATATTTATCATTTATAAAGGTAACGCACTAGATTATTTATTTTGTTTTTTTGAGGTACCACGGGATGCAATGAGATTTTTTCTACTGGAGGATAAAGTTTGAACATTGGGACATATTTTTTGGACATTATTATTGTTTCTTGGGACAATTTTTATTGGGACACTTTTTTCTGAATTTTATTACAAATTTTGTTTTTGTTTTTTCTTTTTGAGTTTTCATTATTATGGGATTTGTATATTAATAGGTTTATGTAATTTCAACACAAAAAGGTTATAACATTGTATTACTTTCTGGGGAGAAAGTGTGACTTTTTGAGGAATTTTGAGGTGGTATACACATACACATAATTCCTTTATATACATAGCCAGGGTTTCACTGCCAGCAAAATGAATGGATATCGCTAATTGCTAAGGATGCAGAGGGTGCCGATACCCACCACTTCCTTAGCAGCCACTGACAGAAACAAAGCTGTTATGTATAATATATGTGTGTAAACTGTAGCGCTAAATCATATAGTAAAACATCCAAGAGTTCACACATAAGTGCAAACAAAGCATAAACATCAGTGAAACAATAAATGAATAAAGTCCATACAGTGTAAAATGTAAGTGCTAGTGTAAAACACAAAAAAAAGTGACAAAATAGTCCTTATATGTGTCAATGATACTGCAATACACAAAAAAGCAATGTGTCCAACTCCAAAACAGTGCCAAGGGATCCAGTGAACACTCCACCACCACTAAGCACTCACCAGAATGCTACTGGTATAGTAGCAATGATTGATAGTCAGTCAGATGCAATATTCACAATCCTTAGCCAGAGATCCTCCTAGAAGGAAAGCTCACCACACGAAGCCCAAAAGAACATTTATAGTGTAGTATTTATTAAAAGGCGAAATAAAAACTCCACATGGAAATATAGTAACATAGTTAGTCTGGCTGAAAAAAGACAAAAGTCCATCCAGTTCAACAATTAAAAAAAAAAAAAGTTATAATCCTATACCCACAATTGATCCGGAGGAAGGCAAAAAAACCCCAGCAAAGCATGATCCAATTTGCTCCTGCAGGGAGAAAAAATTCCTTCCTGATCCCCTGAGAGGCAATTGGAGATTCCCTGGATCAACTTTACCTATAACTGTTAGTATCCAGTTATATTCTGTGTATCTAAGAAAGAATCCAGGCCTTTTTTTAAAGCAATCCACTGAGCTGGCCAGAACCAACTCTTGAGGGAGTCTATTCCACATTTTTACAGCTCTCACTGTGAAGAAACCTTTCCGTGTTTGGAGACAACAGTGTATACATGGGTGAATACACATACCAATATGGCCGCCGCTCCGAATCATGGACAGGATGGTGTGACATCAGCACATAGGCTCCACCCTTGGCTTCTGCCAAACAAGTAAAAGCTCTTGTTTTTGGTGGAATGCCTAAAAGCCAAACTGTGGTTCACATTATTTCAATCTAAACTTTAAGCTCCTCCTTTAGTCTTTAGTTGTTCAGGTTGGTGGAGTCCTGCCAGGGATTTTTAGGTATCAGAGTGACCATAGCATGCTTTGAAGGGGAGGGGAAGACGCCAGTGGAGAGAGAAAGATTGAATACATGAGCGAAAGGGCAAAGAATAGAGCAAGAGGGTGACTATAGCAGTTGTGAGAGAATTGGGTCTAGGTGTCAGGTAGTTAGGTGGGCATCTGAGAAGAGTTTGATAACCTCCTCTGTAGTAACAGGGTCAAAAGAGAAAGTACTGAATGTCCTTTAGATTGTAAGCTCCTTGAGGGCAGGGACTGATGTGAATGTACAATATATGTAAAGTGCTGCATAAATTCATGGCGCTATACAAGTACCTGTAATAATAAAAAATAATAATAATAATAATGTAGTATCGATGAAGGCTTAGTTCATTCTGTGACACAGCGGTGTCTATTCACAGGGCATAGTTGTAGCGCTTACCCCCAAAGGAGCCGTTTGATGTGATGGGTTCCCTGTTATTGTATTCATGACTCTGCTAACAGCTGTGTACTTCCTGACATGTCTGGTTGAGCTGAGGATATAGATGCAGACACCTGTGTGTATAAATAGTCCCAAACACAGCAACATAGTGTGATTTTTTAAATTATGACAGCGGCTGCGGGCAGAAGATTCCCCACACACTGTCACTGCATGCGGATTGGAGTGGTGTGCTCAGGTGCTCTATGGTCACGTTACATGTTACTCCCCAAATAGGGGTGTACCATGTTACCAAAGCTGAACTTATCCTTTAAATACAATTTTACATTTTGACCATAGATATGCTTTACATAGTTACATAGTTAGTCTGGCTGAAATAAGACAAAAGCCCACCCAGGTCAACCATTAAAAAAAATAAAGTTATAATCTTATACCCACAGTTGATCCAGAGAGGAAAGCAAAAAAAACCAGCAAAGCATAATTTGCTAATTTGCTACTGCAGGTAAAACAATTCCTTCCTGATTATTAATATTATTATACAGGATTTGTATAGCACCAACAATTTGCTCAGCGCTTTACAATATAACGAGAGACAATACAGCAACAATACAGTTCAGTACAAGAGGGTTAGATTGTAAGCTCCTTGGAGCTTACAATCTAAGAAGGAGGGGCTAGTGGTACAAAATTTAATAACTTTGGGGATGGACTGGTAGGAGGAATAGAAGATTCCATTATTAGCTGAAGGCAGGATAGGCTTCCCTGAAGAGATAGGTTTTCAGAGATCTCCTAAAAGTGAGTAGAGTCAGCGATAGTCTGGGGTAGAGAGCTACAGAGGATAGGAGAAGCTCTGGAGAAGTCCTGGAGACGAGCATGGGAGGAGAGGACAAGGGAGCTAGAGAGTAGGAGGTCATACGAGGAGCAGAAAGTACGGTTTGGGTGATATTTAGAGACAAGATCGGTGATGTAGTTTGGGGCAGAGTTATAAATGGCTTTATATGTTCTTGTTAATGTTTTGAACTTTATTTGTTGGGCAATGGGAAGCCAGTGGAGGGATTGGCAGAGAGGGGTGGCAGATTCGGAATGGTTAGTAATGTGGATGAGTCTGGCAGCAGCATTCATGATAGACTGAAGAGGGGATAGCCTGCGATGAGGTAGGCCGATGAGGAGGGAGTTACAATAGTCAAGACGAGAGATAACCAGAGAGTGAATAAGTGTCTTAGTAGATTCAGAGGTTAAGAATGGGCATATCTTGGAGATGTTGTGGAGGTGAAGTCTACAAGATTTGGACAGTGGTTGGATTTGAGGCTGAAAGGACAGATGGGAGTCCAGGATTACACCTATTACCCTGGCATTAGGGGAGGGACTGATGGTTGTATTATTGATCTTGATGGAGAAGTCAGGGGAGGGAACACAGGCTGGAAGGAATAGTATGAGCTCCAATTTGGAAAGATTGAGTTTGAGGAAGTGAGTGACATCCATGCCAATTGGTCACTGATCCCCCAAGAGGCAATCGGATATTCCCTGGATCAACTTTACCTATAAACTGTTAGTATCCAGTTATATTCTGTGTATCTAAGAAAGAATCCAGGCCTTTTTGAAAGCAATCCACTGGCCAGAACCAACTCTTGAGGGAGTCTATTCCACATTTTCACAGATCCCTCTGTGAAGAAACCTTTCAGTATTTGGAGAGTAAATCTTTTTTCCCCCAGATGTAAAGAGGGCCCCCTTGTCCTCTGTGATGACCTCAGGGTGAATAGCTCTACACCGAATTCACTATATGAACCACTGATGTATTTATACATGTTGATCATATTCCCCCATTAATCTCCTCTTCTCAAGAGAGAATAAATTCAGTTCCTCTAATCTTTCCTCATAGCTGAGCTCCTCCATACCTCCTATCAGTTTGGTTGCCCTTCTCTGTACTTTCTCCAGTTCCCCAAAGTTCTTTAACACATTAGGGGATGACCAGAGACTGCGGACACAGTACAGGAGATGACCAGAGACTGCGGACAGTACAGGAGATGACCAGAGACTGCGAAACACAGTACAGGGGATGACCAGAGACTGTGGACACAGTACAGGAGATGGCCAGAGACTGCGGACACAGTACAGGAGATGGCCAGAGACTGCGGACACAGTACAGGAGATGGCCAGAGACTGCGGACACAGTACAGGAGATGACCAAAGACTGCGGACACAGTACAGGGGATGACCAGAGACTGCGGACACAGTACAGGGGATGACCAGAGACTGCGCGACACAGTACAGGGATGACCAGAGACTGCGGACACAGTACAGGGATGACCAGAGACTGCGACACAGTACAGGAGATGACCAGAGACTGCGGACACAGTACAGGAGATTGCCAGAGACTGCGGACACAGTACAGGAGATGACCAGAGACTGCGGACACAGTACAGGGATGACCAGAGACTGCGGACACAGTACAGGGAATGACCAGAGACTGCGGACACAGTACAAGGGATGACCAGAGACTGCGGACACAGTACGGGAGATGACCAGAGACTGCGGACACAGTACAGGGAATGACCAGAGACTGCGGACACAGTACAGGGACCAGAGACTGCGGACACAGTACAGGGAATGACCAGAGACTGTGGACATAGTACAGAAGACCAGAGTCTGCAGACAGTGCAGGGGATGACCAGAGACTGCAGACAGTAAAGAAGATTACCAGAGACTGCGGACCTTTGGGGAGGGAGGGGGAACGGGTACCTGAATTTGACAGGTACCCGCTCCCACTTCCGCAGAGTTGTCCTTCCTTCTTCTTCCCGCGGCGGCTTCTGTGACAGCCGGGTGCCCACTGCGCATGCGCGAGAAGCGCTGCGCTTTGTGAATGGCCCGGAGCCTTCTGGGACCTGCCATGTGTCCCAGAAGACACCGGACCATTCACAAAGCGCGGCGCTTCTCGCGCATGCGCAGTGGGCACCCGGCTGTCCACAGAAGCAGCCGCGGCAAGACTGCAGCGCTGGAGCAAGGAACAGGTAAGGTCCTGCAGGGGAGAAGAGCTAAGCGGCCGGCCCGATATTCTGACATGGTGGAGGCAGAAATACCAGACTGGCCGCTTTACATTCGCTCCATAAGATGCACTTTTTTTTGGGGAAAAAAGTGCATCTTATGGAGCGAAAAATACGGTACAACCGATCTTCAGAAAGATATAAAAATACCAAATAACGCCATTACACATTCATTAACCGCATTCCCGCCACCCTACAGCAGGGTATGCTGCTGAAGGGCAGCAAGGGTGTGCAAAATCACGTATATATACGTGATTTTGTATTTCCAGGAAGGGCCGGTGATTACTTACCAGTGCCCAATGATTGCCGAGCATCTCCAACGGGGGGGGGGGGAGAACTGTTTGTAAATGCCAAGCAGTGTGCATACAGTTTAAAGCAGAAACACACAGTCCTCTGTAAAACACACACAGCACACAGCTAACCCCTTGATCACCCCAGATGTTAACCCCTTCCTGCCCAGTGTCATTAGTACAGTGTCAGTGCTTCTTATTAGCACTGATCACTGTATTGGTGTCATTGGGGATGTCAGTGACACCAAGTCAGTTCCCCTGGTGTCAGAATGCCTGCCGCAGTCCCTCTATAAGTCACTGATCGCCTCCATTACTAGTAAACATTTTTACAAAAATTAAAATCCCAGTATATATACCTCCATTTGTAAACGCTATAACTTTCACAGAAACCCATTAATTTACACATATTGGGATTTTGTTTAGCAAAGACATGTAGCAGAATACATTTTGGCCTAAATTTATGACAAAATTAGATTTTTTTAATTTTTTTACTGCACATGTTTAATAGCAAAAAGTCAAAAATATTGTGTTCTCAAAATTGTCAGTCTTTTTTTTATAGCGCAAAAAATAAAAACCGCACTGGCGATCAAATACCACCAAAAGAAAGCTCTATTCGTGGGGGAAAAAAAACACATAAACGTCAGCGTTGTGTGAATGCGCAATTGTCAGTTAAAGTAACGCAGCGCCGTAACACAAAAAATGGCCTGGTCAGGAAGGGAGGTAAATCCTCTGGAGGGCAAATGGTTAAAGAATTTTGAAGTGAATTTTTTAAAGGCAACTAGTTTAGGTGCCTACATTCTGACAGGAGGAAAGAGCATAGTAAAAAAGGAGGGTTGGCCTCATCAGTCTGTTTCTTCTCATTCATTGTCCAGTCACAGGCTGTGGTCAGGGCTGCTGTTAGAAATCATGGGGCCCCGTACAGCCTACCTGACAGGGCCCCCCCCCCCGCCCAACCCCCCTTACATACAGCCTACCTGACCATGCCCCCCCACACACACACATCTCCGCCCCAGCTGTGGAGGTGCTGCTGAAAGCTCAGCAACCCTGGAGGTAAAAAAAATAGGGGACAAGAGGGTTGGGGAGGGTATTCTATGTTAGTTCACCTTTTTTCTGTAAAGGTGAACTAACACTTTAAATCACCCTTAAAATCAGCTGCACCAATCACTACAGTATTTATTACGAAGTCTTTTTGGACTCTGAAAATTGATCCACATCCAGATTGCTCTTCAGAAAGCCTTCGACAGGAAGTGAGGAAGCATTGTTCTGCCTCCTTACCACCTATTTTTTTAACCACTTCAGCTATTTAGCTACATCCACGAGATTCCAGCTACACAAATCAGTGAATTCATGCTGCTAGGATGACAGGTGCATGCAAATTTGAGAGCCGCTCAGCCTGTACAAAGCATGCTGTTACCTGTGGTTAGGGGCCAGTGTCCAAGCCTGGATGCAGTCAGATGTGACCACACTTGGACGCACAACACTAACTATGCTTGGTGTGAACAGCAATGGGTGCTGTCAGCCTGTCATTACTTTACAAAGACTGAGCCACCACCACTATTTGCATTCACCTGTCATTCTAGCTTCAAGAATCCAGTGGATGCAGCTAACCACCATTGTGAAGGAGGCCCTAAAAACCCTTAACTAGCAATTGATTGGGTCATGTTCAGCAAGCGGTACAGCCTACTGAACACAATTGTGGGGATAATTTTAGCCGTGCAAAATGCCTTGTGGTCATGGCATACGTGCTCACCTTCTACTGCATTTGCAGCATAAGGGGGAGCGGTAAAAATGCAGATCTGTGTTTTTACCACCCTAAAAGAAATGATCTCACTGTGTTTATGTGATTATCATCATGATTACACAGTACAGGACCTGTACTATGTGATCATGATGATGATAATGATGATGATCACAAAAGCACAATGAGATAGGTGCTGTGGTTGTGTATCATCCATGGTTGCAGAGTGTTTGCACTTGTAGAACTATACTCTACACTCTGCAGCCATGGATGATATTCTTGTGTGTTGTCTTACACTGTACCCAAGTAGGGGAACCCTTATCGATAAAAGTGCTTGTGTGGGATCTCTACATGCCAGCACTGCCTGCTGCCGGTGCCGTCCGGATCACGTTCCCTAGCTGTGCAAAGTGTGCCCGGCCACCACAATACCACACACACTGCTGGCTGCAACCTGGCCTTCTGCCCTCAAGACGAGTTACTGAAAGAACGAGGCAGCAGAGGCGGACTGAACCATTTGGAAAATCGGGCACTGCCCGAGGGCCCGGGGGTCAGTAGGGGGCCCCATGAGATGCCTCTGGTACCTTTTTCATAGGCTTTTTTGAGTTTGGGCAAGGACACAGGGGCCCCATGATCCCCTATTGCCCGGGGGCTCCATGAGTTGTCAGTCCGCCCCTGCAAGGCAGGCAAGCATCTCCTGCATATTCCTCTGTCAGCCGAGAATGGAAATTTAACTTCAAAGGTGCAGCGCCGGCTCCCTACGAACCAAAATTAAACAAATAGTTCCTAATCTCTAGCCCGTCTGATGATATAATGGGGCCCAGGGAAATATTTTTTTTTACTAGATCATGCATTGCCTGCACATTATAATGTGCCATGAAGCTGTCTGGGCCCCTTTGTTAAACTGATGGGGCCAGGTCCCGTACAAGAGGACCAGTGGTACCCCCTTATCGGCGGCCCTGGCTGTAGTCATGGAGACGATGTAGCTTGATTATCTGCAATGGAGAAAAGTCAGGGTGGCTCAACTGTTTAACTTGGCAATGTAAAAAAACTGTACGGTCAGAGATTTCATTCTTTGGCAGGTAAAACAGCTCCTGTTCAGCTTTAATAAACTTTTATTTCCAAAGACTGAGATATAAGTATCAGAAACATGCTTCTACTGAGGGAAAACGTGTAAGTACACCCTTTTAGTGTGGGAGAGAGGAATTCTTCAGCATAATATCAAAACTCAAAATACTCATGTATTATCACTTTTTTTTTTTTTGGCCCTGTGCTGTCAAAGGGGAAACTGCATATTCATCATTAATGGTATATCTGCATGCATTTTATTGTCAAAGCCTAACTGAACAAGCTGAAGTTAGAAGCTGATTCTGCATGCACAACTTCACCAGATTCGGAGTGCCACCAGATTCTGAGTGCTCTAGTTTTAGTAAATCTCCCCCTATGACCTGCAACTCAGGTCCACTTATAACAAACCATGCCAGTTTTGAAACATCTAGAACATCAATCGATTTGATGCAGGGATTTACATTATATTGCCAAAAGTTTTGGGGCACCCCTTCAGATCATTGGATTCAGGTGTTCCAATCACCTCCATGGCCACAGATATATAACATCAAGCACCTAGGCATGCAGACTGCTTCTATACACATTTGTGAAAAGATGGGTCGCTCTCAGGAGCTCAGTGAATTCAAGCGAAGTACCGTGATAGGTTGCCACCTGTGCAATAAGTCCATCCATGAAATTTCCTTGCTACTAAATATTCAACTGTTAGTGGTATTATAACAAAGTGGAAACAACAGGGAACATCAGCAACTCAGCCACGAAGTGATAGGCCACGTAAAATGACAGAGGCTTAGCGCATGCTGAAGTGCACAGAAGTCACCAACTGTCTGCAGAGTCAATAGCTAAAGACCTTCAAACTTCATGTGGCCTTCAGATTAGTACAGCAACAGTGCACAGAGAGCTTCATGGAATGGATTTCCATGGTCAAGTAGCTGTATCCAAGCCTTACATCACTAAGTGCAATGCAAAGCGTCCGATGCAGTGGTGTAAAGCACGCTGGCCACTGGACTCTAGAGCAGTGGAGACGTGTTTTCTGGAGCGACGAATCACACTTCTCTGTCTGGCAATCCCATGGACGTATCTGGGTTTGGTGGTTGCCAGGAGAACAGTACTTGCTTGACTGCATTGTGCCAAGTGTAAAGTTCAGTGGAGGGGGGATTATGATCTGGGGTTGCTTTTCAGGGGTTAGACTTGGCCACCTAATTTCCAGTGAAGAGAACTCTTAAGGTGTCAGCATACCAAGACATTTTGGAAAATTTCATGCTCCCAACTTTGTGGTTACAGTTTGGGGACGGCCCTTTCTGTTCCAACATGACTGCGCACCAGTGCACAAAGCAAGGTCAATAAAGACATGGATGAGTGAGTCTGGGGTGGAGGAACTTGACTGGCCTGCACAGAGTCCTGACCTAAAACCCTTTGGCATGAATTAGAGTGGAGACTGCGAGCTAGGCCGGTCCAACTTCAGTGCCTGACCTCACAAATGCACTTCTGGAAAAATGGTCAAACATTCCCATAGACACACTCCTATACTTTGTGGACAGCCTTCCCAGAAGAGTTGAAGCTGTTGTAGCTGCAAAGGTTGGGCCAACACAATATTGAACCCTATGGACTAAGACTGGGATGCCATTAAAGTTCATGTGCATGTAAAGGCAAGCGTCCCAATACTTTTTGCAATATAGTGTATATCTGATATACAGTACTTTAATTGGCAAGCAACATGTTGTGTTGTGTCCATTGGGACATCGATCTGTTTAATTCCTCCAGTAATGCTCTCTCCTATAATGTCTCTGCATCATTATGTTATTATATTTTTTGATTATCTGATCTGAGTTGTCAGTTTCCCAGTTAAATACATGACAGAACATACCTGCCAAAGGGTGTTGGTTCATAACTCATAAGACGACAATTAAATTCAATTATATATTTAAATAAAAAATCATGCAGCTAGCATTAGCCAATTATTTCACTTAGCACCTGATTATAGTTAATAAATACTCAGAAGTCAAGACAAATCTATTCTTGATAAGTCTGTTTGATACATAGAAAAAATGTCTTAATCTCTTTAGTATCTGTAGGGTTAACCCTGCCTATACTGTTAAAAAAATGACAGCTGTATCGTTGTACTTTTATGTTTAACCCACTTTTAGCCAGCGGGCTATCTGTCTTCCTCTTGCTCTTTATAGAGAAGCCCTCCGGTCTGAATAGCTAAATAATCTGTAGAGAGAGTCAGGGTTTATGAAATCCCATGGTTTGCTGCAATTATAAGCTTTCTTCCAGCAATTACCAGTTTAGCCTAAAGTTATTCTAGATAGAAGCTACTCAGTGACTTTGTACATGTGATTGTCTTTGAGCACTCTCAATGTGACAGAGATGTCATCTTGAAAAATATGAATGCTGTGCTATTAAGTAAATAGCAGAAGATAGTCAATTAATGTCAGTTACCAGTTTAATAACATGAAACATTCTGAATTGCCTTACTCACTGTACTTTATTGGTCATATTTAATAACATGTAACCTATTGTAGAGCATGAATGGAAGCAAAGTATCTACTTTGACAATCTAAACTATATGTCTAAATTTACTGAAGCGCATAGAATTAGAGTAATGTCGGCCAAGCTAGTATCCTATTTAGGCAACAGTTTCATTTTGATGTTGCAGCTTGATTGGGATTCTTTAATCAATCTTTACAATTAAAATATGATGTTTCTTCAGAGTACAAAGATGTTAGAAGTGTGTACAAACCACAGGAAAAGTAAGAAATTCAACATTAAGCCATTCCTCCCAATGCTTCTTAAGGTGGTGGAAATGCAAAATCTAATACATTGTCATGGATTACTGTGTCTTTATTACATATTGTGTGTGGCACTGCCTGTGTGAATAACAATGCTTGGTGAGCATTCTTTATATTTCCCTATCCTTGCAATTCTCCAGATCCATCATTTCTATCCATTGTATTGTAAAAATGCACATTGAATGAGGAATCTTACTAATAGCAGTTTTCTAGGGTTTCATTTTGTATATCAAACTGAATTACACACTCCCTATCATTTTGTGTCTAGAGTGTAGATATGTAAAAAGGTATCCTGTGTGTTTTGTTAAGGCCCTTAAGCCATTCTTTGTTGATAAATTATCATCATCAGCACCAATGGTATCTTGGACTTAATTTTCTTTCCTGCAACCATGGGTTGCAGGAAAGAAGATCATTTGATTTTCCAATCAACGCAGTCAGTGGTAATGGGGGAATGACTCCCGTGGAGCCATTGTGTTCTCCCTGTGGGGGGCGCCATCTCCACCAAGAGAACACAATAATTAGAGCTAGCGGCTGTAATAGCCACTATCAATAACTGCATGTAAAATCTGACAGGTTGCTTATGCCCAAGTCGATCAACTTGGATACATTCAACCTACCCATACATGGTTTTAATCTTGTCCGGTCCAGGGGCGGACTGACAACTCATGAGGCCCCCGGGTAATAGGGGATCATGAGGCCCCTGTGTCCTCACCCAAAACCCAAAAAAGCCTATGAAAAAGCCAATGAAAGGTACCAGGGGCATCTCATGGGGCCCCCTACTGAGCCCGGGCCCTTGAGTGCTCAAATGGTCAGTCCGCCTCTGGTCCGGTCCCTGCTGAACCGTCTATCCATCTAACCGTCAATCGTCTATGGCTGGCTTTAATAGATGTTTTTTGTGTGAGGGAACACAGTAAACAGCAAAGTCTTCAGTGTAGAGCTAACAGCCTAAAAAGTAACTCCACTTTCATGGGGGAAAAATAGCTAAAAAATAGAATATATCATTGCTACATAAGTCATATTATAATTGATTGTTATTAAAAATTACCTTTCCATTTCAATCTGAAGTAATCTGTAATGTTCTGTAAAATTCAATGCAGTATGGCAACTCGGTGTTCTGTGCATCATGTCATTTCCTGTTTGTGTGATTGGCTCTCTGATTTTCCCAGCAGTCTGTACAAGATACAAGTCAGATTTTAGGCATCCTCTGCAACAAAACAAATCATTTGGTAAGATGCTCCCAAAGGGTTAATCACTTGCAAAGGGGCATTGACACAGCAAGTTTCCTCATTGGAACATGACAAGTGCATCAGCTGACTAATAATAAAAAAAGTCACTCCAAATTGGGATTAGTATCCAAAGACACAAAGTGAAACAAACTGTTTTTTCATCAGAGCAGAAACAGGTAGGGATCTACAACAGAATTAGTTAAAAATCTACACGTAGATCATCCAAAGAGGGTTATCTTTTTCTCAACAAACATGGAGTTGCTCTTTAAACCATGCAGAAAGATTGGCAACAAACACAATATATAGAAAGTTCATCCCTTATTATATCTGTAATATATATATATATATATATATATATATATATACACATACACTGTATATATATATATATATATATATATATATATACATACATACATACACACACACACTTGATATACTGCATATACAGGTATTTATATATATGCACAGTATAAGAACTCTGTGTTGAATAGTTTATACAGTATATGTCTGCCTGAATGTTAATACTCACCTTCAATCTAGAGCTTTCCCTTGGAGTGCCTTGTCTTTGCTACAATAAGTCTCTTAGCTTGGAAGATTGTGAACGCAGGGCATCATGAAACCTTTCACAATGTATAGATGCAGTGAGCTCTGCTTTTGCCATTACATCACCATCTCTATCTACATTATCCAGGACCACCCACTGCTGGGAGAAGACCAAAAAGGAAAAGGACCAAGCACACCACAGCAAGAAAACATAAAAGAAGTGAAAAGGAAACATAAAATACAACTGCTGGGATTCTCAAGGAAAGAGGGGCAATGGGGGGAGGCACAAAGTCGGTCTTAAGTTCAATAAAGCACGAGTATCAAAGCATAATAGGTATGATAAAAAGATGAACAGTGATAAGCAGCACATAATGAATTGCAAGCAGGGCTGCTATTAGAAACCATGGGGCCCCATATAGCCAACTTGACAGGGCCCCCTTAAAAAAACAAACATAAAACACAGTTTACTATGCTTCAGTTATGAATGAACACAGTACCAATCACTCATTGTGTTCATTTAGGAAAGGAAGGGGCTGGTTAATGTGACATAATTATCTGACCCTTTCTCCACTCTCCATCATGAAGGATCCTATTGTGTGTTTGCAGCTGCTGGTTGGAAGCCAGCACTGTGGGGACCCAGACAGCTGGGGGAATCAGATGTGCACAGGGAGGGTGATCGGCATGGTGGGCGAAGGGGAGGGGCAATTACTAGAACCAATCCCCTCTATGGTTCTCTCTGCTGCAGCCGAAAACCAGCAGGAGGGAGAGGACAAGAATCCAGCTTTCAGATGCTGCAGAGAGAGCCATACAAGGGACCGGTTCCAGTAATTGTCCCCCACTGTTCCGATCCCCCTTCCTGCCCACATCCGATTTACCCAGCTGCCTGGGTTCCTCTGCAGGCCTGGGCTCTGTACTGGTGAACTGGTGGTACCCCCTTATCCATAGCCCTGATTTCAAGGGCAAAGGTATTGCTTGACCATTGAAGATTGTTATTATTTGGACAAGAGTGAAGAATGGCATGTATGAATTGATGCAATATAGCTAAAACAAAGAATGACATTTCTATACTCAATATTAGTGCCATGCCATACTTATATTTTAATCTAAAATAAAAATGTATATAACTATGAGTCCAAATATGCATGGTTCTTCATGAATGTGAAACTTCAGTTATGTCCTGTTGTGCTAATTTGGTGTTATCATCCAGTGTTCTTGAATTAACTGTCACCTTTTAGTCATGAAGGCCAAGCAACACACCAGACAGGTCAGGGATAAAATTGTGGATACGTTTAAAGCAGGGTTAGGTTATACAAAATTATCCAAAGCACTGTTCAATCCATCATCCGAAAATGGACATGGCCATCCACCTAAACTGACAGGCTGTCAAGGAGAGCAATAATCAGAGAAGCAGCCAAGAGGCCCATGGTAACTCCGGAGGAGCTGCAGAGATAGATCCACAGCTCAGGTGGGAGAATTTGTCCACAGGACATTACTATTAGTCATGCTCTCCACAAATCTGGCCTTTATAGAAGAGTGGCAAGAAGAAAGCCATTGTTGAAAGAAAGCCATAAGATGTCCCATTTGCAGTTTGCGAGAAGCCATGTGGGGACACAGAAAACATATGGAAGAAGGTGCTCTGGTCATATGAGACCAAAATTGAACTTATTGGCCTAAAAGCAAAACGCTATGTGTTGCAGAAAACTAACACTGCACATCACTCTGAACCCGCTATCCCCACCGTGAAACAAGGTGGTGGTGGCAGCATCATGCTGTGGGGATGCTTTTCTTCAACAGGGACAGGGAAGCTGGTCAAAGTTGATGAGAAGATGGATGGAGCCAAATACAGGGCAATCTTAGAAGAACATCTGTTAGAATCTGAAAAAGACTGGAGACTGGGGTAGAGGCTCACCTTCTAGCAGGACGATGACCCTAAACATATAGCCAGAGCTACAATGGAATGGTTTAATCAAATCAAATGATCAAAGCATGTTCATATTTTAGAGTGGCCCAGTGAATGTCCAGGCCCAATTCCAATTGAGAATCTGTGGCAAGACTTGAAAATTGTTGTTCACAGACACTCTCCATCCAATCTGACAGACCTTGATCTATTTTGCAAAGAAAAATGGGCAAACATTTCTTCCTCTAGATGTGCAAAGCTGGTAGAGACATACCCAAAAATATGTGCAGTTGTAATTACAGTGAAAGGTGGTTCTACAAAGTAGGGGCAGAATACAAATGCACGCCACACAGATATTTATTTGTAAAAAATGTTGAAAACCATTTATCATTTTAATTCCACTTCACAGTTATGTGCTACTTTGTGTTGGTCTATCACATTAAATCCCCAAAAAATACATTTACATTTTTGGTTGTAACATGACAAAATTTGGAAAATTTAAAGGGGTATGAATATTTTTTCAAGACACTGCTTATTGATTTAAAGACTGACATTCATGCATTCATTTGTGCCCGATAGATACAGTAGATAGATAGAGAGATAGATAGATAGATAGATAGATAGATGTAAACTTGAAAATGCTGAACACTCCTAAGTGCCACGTTTAGGCGCATTTAGTCATGTTTAGGCGCATTTAAGTGTGTTTATGTGCGTTTATGAGCATTAAGAGTTTTTCTGCCTGAAAACACTTTGTTATAACACCACTAACAGTTGACCGTGGAATATTTAGTAGCAAGGAAATTTCATGGATGGACTTATTGCATAGGTGGCAACCTATCATGTTACCAAGCTTGAATTCACTGAGCTCCTGAGAGCGACCCGTTCTTTCACAAATGTTTGTAGAAGCAGTCTGTATGCCCAGGTGCTTGATTTTATACACTTGTGGTCATGGAGGTGATTGGAACACTTGAATCCCATTATTTGGAGGGGTGTCCGAATACTTTTGGCAATATACTGTTCCTTAAGGTCCATGCACACTGGGCATAAAAAATTATGCTTATACAGATTTTTGGCATTTTTTACTTCAGCCTGTATAAGCAGCTCTATGTTTCCAGAACCAGATCAGACCATTCAGAGCTGATGAACTAACTATTTTGGCTGGGTATTCTCCCATGCAAATTAGCAACTATTTCAGATTCAGAAAACAGTTAGTAAAATTTTAATGGGTTAAACATCTCTGCCAATAGGAACTAAAACATGATTTTGGAGTTCATCTTTGCAGACATTGGTTTGGGTAGGTGACAGGTTGCATTTTGTGGAATTGTAGGAATATACTGTAAGTTAGTATATAAAACAGTGTTACAAAAATAAGGACCAAATGTTTACCCTTGTGAAAGAATCAATCATACTGAGAAGCTATTTGACTGGGAATGTGCAATTACTACTGCCTTTTTTTGCTAATTTTTAGAGGCACAGTTGTTCGCCAAAAAAAAAAAAAAAAATTGGCAGCAGATTTGAAAGATTAACTGCAGATCAAAAACTAATGTTAATCTTGTTGTGGACTATTTATCTCATATCATTATTAATAATTCGTACTTAACCAAAACAAGTAATTATTTCTGCCAACTCTCAATGTATTACTAACATCATATCTCTTGATTTTTCATGGAAAATATAAGTCTTAAAGGGACATTGTCATGAGAGATTAATGGAGACCCCCTTTGCTGAACTCATTTTGAAATGTTAATTCTCTGGCTGTTGTTCTGATACTTCAATACTATGTGAGTCACTGACCCAGAACAAGCATTAAGACAAATAGTCCTGGCACTTTTTTGACACTCATTGACAATATGCTTCTTCCAGGTTAGTGACTGAAACATACTCAAGTGAAAAAAGGGCATCCAAGTGGCTCTGGGACTTTGATATGAGTTTATACAAAGTAGTAAGAGGGCAAAAAACATTTTAAGAGCCCACTGGCTCAGGTTAGGCTGCTTACAGCAGACAAGGCTACTCTCCAGTGGGTACTCCAGCAGGTTACCAGAAAAAAACATGCGCACATGGAAAGAGAGCTAAACCAAAAGATAAAAGTCCAAGTTAATTTATTGAGATTGTGCTAAAAGACAGTCAATGTGTTTGGGGGGGTCACAGGAACTCCA